AGAATTTGAAGTTGAAATTGAACATAGTGCAGCCACTATCATCTTCAAGCAGCTAGGTCACTGCAAAGCTGTTGTTGGACAAGGTCACAGTAAGAGTGAAGACAAATATTCTTTACTTGATATTCTTTACTTAAACAATGGAGAAGGTTTTTTGCCATAGGACCTATGAAGCACCGATACTTTCCTAGGGTAGCGTATCGGCGTATCGGATACGTTCCCGTATCCGATACTCTAGGATACCCGTACCGTACGTTCCCGGGTCGTATCTGCAATTTTTAAAAGTTTCCTTTTTTTTTTGTAATTTTTTGAAAGTTTCCGATACTCGTATCCTGACGGATACCCGTATCAACCATTTTTAAAAAAAAAAATCCCAAAATTTACTTAATAAAATTCCAAAAAAAAAAATTGAAAATCTAAAACTACATTTTACTTGGTAATCAAATAATGGGCCTATATGGCTATATCCGAATTAAGTCATTAACTCATACTCCGAAGTGGGTACTTGCACTTTTAATTTCAAGATTGTAGTTGTTTGACTTATTTCACATTTTAAATTAATGACTTATTGACTACATTTATATTTCGAGATACACCAGTGTATATGAGAAATATTATGAATTTATTACTAAGTATCTTGAAAAAGGAAAATGCTTCAATGCAATGAATGGGTAGACATCATAAGATATTATATGTATATATATATATATATTAAAAAAAAATCTATTTTTAATATTTATAAATAGACCCCTATAACTTTTAATATTTGTAAATACACCCCCATAACTTTTAATATTTATAAATATGGCCCCGTATCTGTATCCTACTTTTTTTGGTTTTGACATATCCCCGTACCCGTTTCCGCGTTTCCGCGTTTCCGCGTACCGGTATCGGTGCTACATAGCATAGGACCATTTGCATTGTATGTATGGGTGGTGAAAAGGTTAAATTTATGCTATTTATCCCCATTCTTATGCAACCATGCAAGAAAATGGTATTCAAAGAGTTCAACAATGCAAGAATACTAGAATAGCAAGCATCAATATTGATAGAGCATTCACCCCAAATTTAAAATGACTTCACCAAAACTCCAAAAGCTGAAGAGAAGCTTTTGGTATAACTTTTTTATTTACAAAAAAGTTCATTTAAAAAAATCAAGTGGTATACGAAGGAGCTGCTATGGGAAATTGACAAAGCGGGATTTGGCCACTCCGGGCTGGACGCAAAATGTTTACACTATTTGGTCTGATTATTTAATACAAATTGTAGGGCACTTTTTTAAACATTTCATACTGTATCATGTAAAGTATTTTACGCGAGGGGTGGTAAAATACTTTGCATGCTTTTTATAAAGCACTGCAGCAGCGTCTTTGCGTGGAAATTAAAAATAAGTTTAATGTCTAACCAAACAATGTAATCTTTTTTACATGCAAACTGATTGTTTCCCTAAACTTTGCATGCAATCATTTCGTGTGTAAAGATTTAACGTGTAAACTAACAAACAAGTCCTAAAATCAAAACGTTCATTTGGCAAACATGCTCGGGTTGTCTTCCAATAAAGGAGGTCGTCTTTTGCAACGGAGGGTTCCTGTGCAGCAACTTGTCCAACGTGTGGAGAGCAACTGAAAATGGCAATACATACCTTGCGGGATTGTCCTCTGGCATGAGAGCTATGGGGAATAATTGGGTGAACACGGAGTGAGGTGATATTATTGCGGCCTGGGCGGGTGATATTATTAACAGGTTAAAGGAGGAAGCTAGCGAGATTATTACATATGCACTGTTGGAGCTTGTGGAAAGAAAGAAATGACATGGCTTGGCGGAAAAAACGCACTGAATGGAGGGGTGTGGAGAATGTTGGGATGACAGTACTACAAAGGTGGATAGAAGCGCATAATAGAAAGAAGATCCCAACCAGACAGCGGGAGCCGATGACGTGGAGATGCCCGGCAAGGTATTATATAACAGTAAATGTTGGTGGGGCATTTGATTTGAACAAACCTTAGAGAGGGGTGGGCATGGTCGCCCGAGTGGACACGAGGTTTTCGTGGTGAGGCGATCAGGCGGAGAAAGAAGTGCACGAGGAGCTTTTCACCGACTACAACGGAATTAATAGTTATCATCGAGTCGAAGCGTGTAGATAGCAGTTTGAGGGATTTTGGATTCGACCGACCTCTCCTATGATGCCACTCTGGTAGACGATATTATGATGTTGTTACTTGGACTGAAATTTGTTAGTCTTGTTGGTCTGATAAATGTTTGGTCTCTGTGTATTCTCAGTCCTAAAAGAGAATATAGAATTGAAAACAATCCAATTAAAAACATCCTTGAACACGTGATGGCGAGTTTTGACATATTTTTGTTCACTATGTTCGACGATCAATAAATATGATTACTGATGTTCTATCTAAGCAAGCTATTGAGGAGTGTGATTGTTTTTGTTTAATTTATCACCTTCATGTCTTAGTCAACTCTTATGGATCCGGAACCTCTATCTTACTTTAGAGTAAGGTAGAGTGCCTTGCTTCCTCCCGGTCGTCTGATCGACAATTCAACGGTCGGAGATCTTGGGGTCTACTTTTTCGCCGATCTCGAGGTCGTGTTGGCCGCTCCCCTCCCGTCCGATGCGCAAGGCACCCTCCTAGTCGGGTAGAGGATCCCAATCCAACTCTTATTGAACGATTCTCATTCTTCTTCTCATGCTTAATAAAATGGTATTGTTTCAAAAAGAAAACGTCAATGGGAGTTGGCGAGTTGTAGCACAAATCACAATTTACCTCTTCCATACCTTAATTTTGCACGGTGCAGCTTTAACCTTCAAAATATAAAAATCTTCTTTTTTGGAAATCTTTAGACTCGTTTTAATGAGATGTGGACGAAGTAAGAATCGCGTGCGACGAGTAGGTGCGCTGGCAAAGCTTTAAGCGGGGAAGGTGGCCGTCCAAGTCCTCCACTGGTCAGACGACGCGTTGACGCCGCTGATTGGAACTATCGCTTATGCCACGAAATTGCTTCTCTGTTTCTCCTCACACCTACGAATTTATTATTTTATGCTACTACTTAGTCTTGAGAAAATGATGGGAATAAAAAAAATAAAAATAAAAAAGAGAAAATGATGGGAATAGCATTAAAAATAGTTGAATTGTGGGTGTGCAAAAATAGAATCACAGTTTCCCGAAAAATATTGACCAACATTTAATTGACATATTAACTGAATTACTAGTAAAAATGTCGATTTGATAATTCATATATAAAAATATCATCTCGATTTTAGCACGTGAATTAACATGAACATGCACGTATGTTAGGTACTATGAATGTTTTTACTTAATGAACTATTTTTAGTCCTAAACCAGATCATACCGATCTGATCAAACCAAATTAAATTAGACTTGAACAATTATAAAATACACAGATCACATTAGACCAGACAAGACCAGTTCAAACCAGACTAGTAAATTTGAATCTAATTAAAAACATCTTAGAACATCTCCAATGCTACAATGTGCACGATGCACATGTGACATGAGAGAGATAGACACAAAAGATTGATTTTATAACATTTCTCTCTCCTTCTTTCCACGGGCTTATGTGTTTTTGGTAAGTTTTTTCCTGCAATGTCAACTACAATGTCTACATCTTGACATTGTGCTTCACATTGTGAAGAAAAACTTACCAAAATGATGTAAGACCCTTCAAATAAAGAGAGATATTCTACTTATTGACATTATTGTTTTTTAATTAGTTATTTCTCATGCCACGCATGCACCGTTAACGTTTTAACATTGGAGATGCTCTTATCTATCACGGACTACATGAGTTTTGCAAATTTTGAATAGAATCATACTCCGTATTAGATTAAAACGGGAATAAAACACACGACTCATTTTTTTTATTTGGCTGGTCATTGCAACTACAATGATTTTATATGTACGAATATAATATCAATTATAAATTTTCGTTTTAACACGTATGCTGCAAAAACAACAATAAAATATACGGAGTACATAATAGTGATTTGAATTGAAATAAGTGTAATAATAAACATTACTCATTGAGTTACATTTCAAGATATTGGTTCCCGTTTGATAACTTATTTCAAGATAAACATTACTCTGTGAGTTACATTCCAACGCCAAACTCGTCATTTTAGCTAGTTTCATGTGCATTTTCTTTAATTTATTAAAATAATATCCTACATAGTTTGAATATATTATCTCATAACTTAACAAATTTCATCTATTTCAACAGATTCGATCAATTTTAGTGATGTCAAACGAGTTTTAAAAATCATATTTACACATCGAGAATTGAAACTAAGTTAAGATGTTTTCTTTTGGACTATTTTCTGTCTCAGCCAAGACCAGACCAGATCATACTTCCACAATTATAAAGTACATATAGATCAGACATTACCAAACCAGATCAGACCAAATCAAAACACTCAAGTCTATTCAAGTTTAAGTAAAAAATTGTCTTATAAAAATTGGATATTAAAGATAAGTTGATAAAGAAGAACATTTTAAGAGAACATAAAATTGAGACACAAGAATATGAGAATATGTGTAAGAGGAATATTTTTCTTTTTTCTATTACAGATACACCAAATATATTTTGCATAGACAAACATGAGAAAAATCAGAAACAAAGACTTACATGCCCTGATTAGTTTAGATTCGAAAATATTTATTTATAGAAATAAACATTTACACGCACGGGTATCTCAGTCGATCGAGTGGTGGGAAATTTGAATCAATAGACCAAAGTTTGAATCTCCGCAACGACCGGGTGGAGGTTACAGAACCTGAAATAAGGTTGGACCTCTGGTACGCACGCGTGTATGACCTACTACCACTTTGTTAACTGAGTTATCGTGACTTACTCCTTCACGAAAAGAAATAAACATTTAGTCGGACTATACTTTAATTATCGGTCATTGATGTTGATTGATTTACAATTTAAAAAACGAACGAGTCCGAGCTGTACACTCTCTCTACGCCTATATAAATGGTCGTTTATTTCCCTATAATCCTAACTCGTCCAACCCTAACGCCAAAAACAACAGATTTAAAAATTAAAAACCGGTTCCATTTCTCCGCGGCCGCAGCGGAAGAAAGCAAAAGCTCAGCCATCCTCCGTTCACGGCGGCGCAGCATAAACCATTCCGTCTCTCTCATTCAGTAAGACCAGACCAGATGTCTCGTTCTATCTCCAACGCCAAACTCGTCTCTGCTTTCATTTCTGAAAGAGTCTCTGTTCCTTTGAGCAGGTATTACAATTGAATTTCTTAGATCCAGTTCATGTTTCATCTTAAAAGTTCAGACAAAACTGACGTTAGTTTGTATATAAAAAATCAATTTCGTCAGAGCTTAATCGACTTTTTTGAGATTTCAATTTTAATTCATTCGGTTTGGAAGTTAATTTGTGATAACTAATAAATTTCATTCAAATGAATCAGGACATATGCTGCGGCGGCGGCTCAGGCAACGGCTGGTGGAGTAAACGTGGCGAGGAGTAAGGTGATGCTGAAGAGAGGAACAGAGGAATCGGGGAGGAACGCCACCGCTTGGGTTCCAGATCCGGTAACCGGCTACTACCGGCCGGAGAGTCAGGTGGCGGAGGTTGATGCGGCTGAGCTCCGGCAGGTGGTCTTGAAAAACAACGCTACTAATCAGCACTATTAGATCTTCCTCCATTACTGTGTTAGGGTGTTGGACAAGCAAGATCGAAGAGCTGCTTCTTTTGCCCGGGAAACGGTTTTCTGACTTCCATAGAAAGAAATCGATTGCTTAGGTCGTTGGATTGTTTTGAGTCCTTTTTTAACTTTGTTTTATCACAGATCTTTATGTTATTTTTATATTGAGTACGTTATAGCAGATGTATTAGTGATTGAGACATAATAGTGATTCCATACTGCTCAAAAAAAAAAATAGTGATTCCATAACATGATAAACGGTTTTAAGCAACTTTGTAAGCTACGTCTTTATTACGTAGTACGGAGTATCTTTTTTCTAATTACCGAATACTAAGAGCAAACTCTCATTTGTCATATACTCCGTACTTTATGGTATCATTGTGGCACTCCCAAGTAGGAGGTCACAAGTTCGAATCACATCTCAGTTCAAGAATGTTGAAATTAACATTGAACAGATACCATATAAGTTAGAAAGAATTGTCCCAAAAAAAAACTCTCATTAATGAAATTGATGAAATTATTTTAAAAAAATAATACTGCGTACTCCGTAATAAATTTCACTGTTTTTAAAAATAATACCCCGTAAAAAAACATACTAAAACATATATACTGTTTAAATCAGGAGAGAAATATTTTTCCATTTATGTATTCACATCCATCTCATGATGTTTTCTTTAGGACTGTTTTTAGTCCCAGACCAGACCAGACTTAAACAGACCAGACCAGACCAGACTTAAACAGACCAGACCAGACCAGACTAGACCAGACTTCCGTAGTTATAAAATACACAGAGACCAGACGTTTACCAGACCAGACCAATTCAGACCAGACCAGACTTAAACAGACCAGACCAGACTTAAACAGACCAGACCAGACCAACAAATTTCAGTCCAAAAGAAAACATCCTCATTCAACATACGCATCGTACACATTATAGTTTTGGACATGCTCCAATAAATATAATTTCACTCTCAACCTCATTTAAAACAGAAGGCCATATGATTTGCAAAAATAGTTTAGTGTTCACTCAGTCCTGGATGAAGTTCTTAATTGAGTTTAGGCGTTTAGGTGTTGGATTTGCATGTAAATGAATAAAGATGTTTTCTTTTGGACTATTTTCAGTCCCAGATCAGACCAGACTTAACTTCCGTAGTTATAGAATACTTAGAGATCAGACGGTCAGATCAGATCAGACCAAATCAGACCAAACCAGACCAGCAAATTTCAGTCCAAAAGAAAACATTCAAAAACTATTCCTTTATTTAAAGGAACAACTACTCTGAAATCCATAAAAAGAACAACGGCGTCCTCGTCAGAACCGCGTAAACGGCATTTAGCTAAGATGGGATTTCTGTGCTACCTAAGAAAATCTACAGGTTGAGAATTTATTGATTTATAATGTTTTCACTTCTGACCATGTCTTAGTTTTGTTTATGTTTGGTCATCGTGTCATTTTTTGCTTAATTATTTCTTTGAGCATCTTTGTCAAGGACGCCGTCATAAGCTTCCTTGCCTCATGGTCTCCCTGACTTTATCTTTGTCTTCAATTTCTAACTTCATTTTCGTCTTTTTTCATCCTTATTATCATTGTTCACTTTTATCTCACCTTCCATTGTCTTGTAAATTACCTCAATTAGTGTGATAATGTTTTATGTCTTTTAGCTCTTACAATCAAAATAAATCATCTAATCTGTAATCATACAACAAAATCAGCACTCATCGATAAATGAACGATAAACATGTGAAATGTAAAACTATCAAATTAAAAATAAGGAAAATGCTTTGTGTACACGGCGGGTTAGACGCCCGTGTACACAGCATAAAACCCCCCTTCTACGGAAATTACCCAGCCCCTTCCCTTTTCTACCGAAATAACCCAACCCATTTTATCTGCTCCCTTTTTTCATTTGTCTGTGTCCTTATCTCTGTCCTTATCTCTTTGCTCGTCCTCTTCGGCTTCAACAGACGACCACCATGGATGCTAGTACAACGACGGCCAACGGAACATAGACATATGAAGCCAATCTCTCCCATGTCGCTCGGCTACCCCTTTCACGCAGTAAGCTCTTCTTCCCTCTTTCTTTTTTTCTTTTCATTCTTCTTCAAATTTCATCCTCTAAATCGAAATTTTTACACACGACTTCTCTTCCTCATGTTCTTCTATCATTTATTTTCCAGTTTTTCGACCCACTTTTTTCCTCAATTTATTCCATTTTTGTGCATTTAGGGTTATATTTGCTTCCTTTTTAAATTTTATGTATAATATATATGTTTTTATGATGTTGATTGCTTATTATGTCGGCCACCTTGATTTGTGATTTGTGATGTTTATGAATTGAATTTCTATTTCACTTGTATGCCTATAAGGTGTTCATTGAAATGCTTCAATGGACCCTTTTATTCATTTCCATGAATTTTTTGTGTTTTTCTCCTTTTTGTAATAGCAAATCTTATTTTAAAGAGTTTGGGTCTTCTCGTATTTTATTTCCATTCCTCTAATTATCTCTATTTAGCAGCCATTTCTTTCATCCTTATCAAATCTTTTAGAGGATCTCTTTAGAGGAAGAGACAAATAGTGTTGGATATACAAGTGAGCGTTTTGGCAATATAGTGTACGGTGATGGAGTGAGTTACATGTTGTTTTGTACTATTGAAATAACCTTAATGGTATTATTGGATCTTATGTATGAGTGTGTTGGTGAAAGTGTGTTGTTCTATCTTCTATATATTTAGTTGTTATTTCTTTATTTCAATGTGGTCTGTTTTTATTTATGAAATCAGAATCATTCATATTGAGTTATGCATGTTTTCTTATTATTTGTTTTCTTTAATGTCATTATGTCCTTTGCAATGGAACATACTAATATTGAAGGTTGGCAGGAATCATTTATACTCTTTGGAAGATAATGAACCTTCGAGAGAGGTGTGTGATAAATCAAATGATGGCAGAAAAAGGATTGAGGAAGTCAAGAATGAGAGATTTAGAATACAGAATAACTAAACATTTTATTCTTGTAATTAGCTATACGGCAAAGTTAATGTTCTTGTATTTAGAATGATAGTGTAATTCGAGTTGCTAATGTCTTCAATGTATGTTTTGTGTTATGAAAATGAACTTGGATATTGTACAAGAAATTTGTGTTATTAATCCATGTTGTAAGTTGGCTGAAAAGGATATTTGAGTGTTTATTCTGTTTGCCATTGAAGTGTATGTGAACATGTATTTTTTTCGTTTTTAAAGTGAATTGTCTGTGAAAAAGACATAAAGAATCATTCAATGATTTACTACATACTTGTATATATTTACTATAAATCGGAAAAAGTAAATCATATTCACAATTAAAAATATTATAATTAAATGTTGTAATTAGTTATCTTTATCATCTATCATCTTTAAATATACTCGTTTTTAAAATAAATCATATTAACAATTAAAATCATATTACATTTTTCTCGTTTTTTAAAGTAAAATGTTTGTGACACCGGCAATTTAATTGATCATTATTTAAACTTGTCTGTATTTCATTTAATATTGTCTGCATTTCATAATATATATTTTATTCTTCTGTTCTTGTAATTTGTTTTATCATTATTTGAACTTGTCTGTATTTCATTTGATACTGTCTACATTTTATAATCTTTTATTCATTTGTCTGTTTAGTATTGATGAATAATGTCTGTATTTATATAATGTAGTCTGTGTATACATATTCATTAGTCTGTGTATAAATTCACAGATGAATATGCACAGGAAGACGAGCAAGAAGATGTTAGTGTTATTCGTTTCAAGGGGCCTCTAGAAAAAGGAAAATCAAAGGCAAAGGTATGATGCTTTGAACTTTAATTGTTATTGTACAGACATTATTTATGCCTCCACAGACATTGGAAATATACGCACAGACATTAATATCATAGCTGTTATTAATTTTGTTTCCAGCCAACTGCCCAAAAAAAACGAACCACAAAGGACATTGCCGGACAGGAGTACGCTGGAGAGGGGTTCGCGGGACAGCCGTACACTGGAGAGGGCTACGTTGGAGAGGGGTACCATGGTCAATATGATTATGGTGCAGTCAACAATAGTATAACACTACAATATCAAGACGGTTTAGATTTAAATCTCACTCTGTTTTGAGACATGTACTTATTTCAGGCAAGTGCGCCAAGACGGTTTAGATTTGAATCTTTCTCTCTTTTGAAGTGTTGTCTACATTGGTACCGTCTGTATTTATGTAATTATATACTCCTATGTAGTTCTATAATATTTTGTGGAGACATATGTTAAATGTTAAATGTTTGTATAATATTGTATAACATATGTTAAATGTTAATTCCTAAATGTTTGTATGCAGATATTTAGTCCATTAAACCGTCTGTCTTTGAATCGTAATGATTCCATGTGCCCCAAAAAATGTAGACTATTTTGTTGCCCCATGAAGTTGACACCACACGCAAAAATATATTGCAAAAATATATTCTTATATATCATTGTTTTGTTGTAAATCATGCTACAAGTGGTAAAACATATAGCTTTGCCAAGACAAAAACAAAAGGCAAGCACATTGTAGTCATATGTTTCATTCTTAACTAGCAGCATCATCTGTTTCAAAGTCAGACATTCTGAAAGCAGCTCCAATGCTTCATCGAAGCAAGACCGAACAGAATATTGCGCGGTAAAGTAGTACTTCAAAGGAATTTGCAGGTCCATCCTGAAAATATTTATACAGACAAGTGTGATGTTCACAAAAATTTAAGAAGACATGATACAGACATCTTATGTACACGATACAGACACAGACAACTTTTATCAACAATTTCAAATACACAGACAACTCCAAAATCAATTTTTACACTACATGTGGTTCAAACACTAAGATGTTAACTCAATCATACAGACAACTCGATAAACAATTTATAAACAACAATATTCATCCTAAAAATATGCATACAGACAGGTCTAGGGTTCACAACAGTATACAAATAAACCATACAGACAACTAAGCAAAAGTCATACAGACAGGTGTGGAGTTCAAAAAAATATACAAATAAACCATACAGACATCTTAACAAAAGTCATACAGATAGGTCTGGAGTTCACAAAATAAACATATAAACCATACAGACATCTAAACCAAAGTCATACAGACAGGTCATGCACTATACAGACGTCTTTAAAAAAAAACAGGAAACCAATACAACCCATGTATTAATCATGCGAAAACTTATGAAGCACAAATATCTCATGTACAATGCAAACAAAAAAATTGTATAAAAAATGGATAAGTATTAAAGGTTTATTATGAAGTTCGGTTTGCAGATCTTTACCTTGCTGTCAGTTCAGTCACCGAAGTCCG